CAAGTTGTTTTAATGAAAGTATTAAGACTTTATTAGCAAAGAAGTATAAAAACTTCTTGCGAACATTTTTTTTGTGTATGGTCAGAGGATCAATGAAAAGAGTTGTTTTTTTCTCAGTAAGATTTGAATTTTTTATTATATATATTATAAACATTATATTAATTAATATTTTTATTTGTTTTAGGTTTATATTTATAAAGTATATTATGAAGCAAATAATTATTTTCATTTATAAAAAGTATTTGAAAAATTTGACAAGACAATAAAAAATTATCAAGTTTTATTATTATTATATTACTATTATTTTTAACTATAACTAATATTAGATGCAAACTCTTATTAATAATTAATTTTTAAGTATAATATTAATTATTTTATATATTATATGTAGATTAATAATAATCTATCACAGTATATTCTAGGTAAACTTATTTATTCTTCAAATAAAAATATATATATAATTAAAAGATCAAATAGTTGATATATAGTTAATAATATTATTATTAATATACTGTAATTAATCTAGACTATATATTAATTTATTTACTATATTATATATACTAACTTATATACTCAAATATATTTTCTCAACTCCATAAGAATCTGAGGTCCACTATGAGTCATCGTATTGGTGTGGGTGGATAATGAACACTGTCTACTCCTACATCTTTGGCTAAGTGAAAGAGAAAGAACATACCCTTTCCTTCACTCTATCAAAAAAGAAGAAAGAAGACCAGACTCAAAGGAATAAAGAATGAGAACGATGTCTTAAAAGTGTCACGCCTATTCTTTACTTGTATGAATATTGGGAGATTTGGGAGATCTTAGGATCACTCATATCTAATCGACAATACCAACATGTAGTCGAATGACCTCATGGCTGGAGAATATGCCACAATGGGACATTAGACAAATGGTTCAATCTCTACAGATGGTAGTACTTTGGGAAAAACAGTATGATATTTATCAAGTCCAACAAGGCACATGCTGGAAGTATCAAGATTCTTCTTTCTAGGCTGGAGTTATCACAATGGTAAAAAAGGACAGATTGTTGGATGACGGGCTCCTAACTATCCCAATGCCTATTTATCTTTCCCCATGTACTAGAGCCCTCCAAAACCCCCGACTTATTATCACCCAAAAGAACATCTGTAGAAGATCCCATACTGGATAGGGTATGGAAGAAAAAGGCAAGAACTGATAGATAAGGATCACAACATAGAGGTACTGAAAGCAATAAAGGAATAGGTATTGTACCCTGAACTGATAAAACCCTTGAAGAGTAACCAGTTCACAATATCAATATGGTAGTAGTAGCATGGTTTCAAGTCACCTATAACCAAACTATTTCCCCTTCTCCGTCCGGTGCTTTTTTCGTAATGTAGAATCTTCACCCCTGTTTAAATTTGTATAGTCTCAGTTTTATTTCTTTCTTTTCTAGATAGAGATAGTAGTAGGGTATCGAACACATTAGTGAAACAGACCAAATGGTCTGTAGTAGATATAGATTTATTACACACATTAACCCCATAAGAAATTTTTATTGCCCTAATGGTGTTTTATTAGGTCTCTGTCTGGAGATGGCTTAGTCATGAAGTGGTTCCAACCTATCATTATTTACTAGCTTCTCTTTGTTTTTTCTTGGTCATATGTACCTATATGTTAAACTTTGCTAATAAACTTGGTTAAGCCAGCTTAAAAAAAAAAAAAAAAAAAAAATGCTAACTTATATATTAGAGTTAAATTCTTAAGAATTATTTATCTATTTAGATATTTTGATATTTTTACTTAAATCTCAGAAAAAAATTCTATTACCTTTGTTATTACTTACAGTATAATATTATAAATAAATTTTATTTAATTAATTTTTATTTAAGCAAGTATTAGATTGAAATATTTTAGTTATAATAGTCAGGTTTTAGAATCTACTTATATAATTTAGAATAAAAAATATTCAAATAGTTATGCAATTTTGAAAACAAAATTTTAAAATCTGTTAATATAGTTTGAAGTCAATATTATATTTAAATAATTATCACAGTCCTAAAAGTAAGATCCCGAGATTTGTTTTCTATTTAATTTATGGAAAGATAAGTCAGGTACAATTTATATAACTAGACTAAAGATATTTCTTATACAATTCTTATAATAGATCAATTTTAACTCAATAATTAATAGGAAGATCAAAAATTCTATTTTTATATAACTTGATTATTTTTTTTATTTGATTTTATATAATATTGAATTTTGGATCTTATAATTGTAACTAACATTGTGTTATACTATAAATCTATAGATCTTTAAGTTTTATTATTTTAATTTATTAATTAATAATAGATATTATTATTTTTTTTTATAATTCTCTGTTAAGTTAATTATATATTATATACTTTATTAAATATATTATAAGTCATATAAATTATAATATTATTAAAATTAAATTGGCAACTAATTTATTTATCTTAGTTTATTTTCAAACTCTAAATACAACTAACTTTGGAAATAATTTATTATTTCATTTATAGTTTGAATTTATACTCTCTTACCATTAATTCATTGCCTATAATTTACTATTGTAAATTATAAACTATAGCTTTAATTGAGTTTAAAAATTAAGTATTTTATTTTATTTTTAATCTCTATCATTATAATCTTAATAAGACTTTCATCTGAATATTTGTTTTTCATAATTTTTTATTTTTTTCTTTATGCTTTTTACTCTTCTTATAAAGGATCTATATTTTATTTTTTTAAAAAATTTCTTAGATTTTCTTCCATATTATTATGTTTTTATATTTTTTATTCCAAGCTTTTTTTTAAAAGTGATTTAGGACTTTTTTTGATTAAAGAGTATTTATTTTAATTATAATTATAATTTTTTTTTCTTTATAATTTAATTCTCTCATTTTTATTAATAGATCTTTTTTAATTAGCCCTATAAAAATTGATTATACTTTGACTCTCTTTGGATACTCTTTTTATGAACTTCATTTTTTAAATTTATATTTCTTTTAGTTTTTTTCTATTATTTGTTATAATATTATTACAATTTTTTTTAACTTTCTTTTTTTATTTTTTCTTTATTTTATAGAATTCTTATTATACTGTATTTTCTTTATTATTATTATTTTTACCTAAACTTTCTTGATTTTATTTTTGTAGGATAGATATTTTATTAGATGTTCTATTGTATTCTTCTAATTCTTATATTACTATATAATTATTATTTTTATATAGATCAAATCTTCTTATTTTTAGTTTGAACAAAATAGATAGTTTATTATTAATCAATTTAATTAAGAAGCTTTTTTTTTTGTGAGTTCTTGAAGGATACATTTTATATGTGCTCCTTTATTGGTCTCTTCTATATTATATTCCATAAATATTTTTAATAGTTAATTATTTGATTGCTTTATTTATCTTTAGTTCAATTTTATTATTCAGCAATATATTATTATTTTATTGTTTGGTATTTTTATAAATTGTCTTATAGAGCTATTTAATAATATCTTGCCATTTGATCTTTGTGATAATCTTATCAAACTTAAGGTTGTTTATATAATTATTGAAAGATTTAATGTTTTTTTGACTATTTTATTTATTATTTCATTTTCTATTAAAGTAAACTTTGACTTTGATTAGCTTTAATTTTAGGTTTTTTGTTTTGATTATTCTTAGCATTCTTGTCCAGAAAGACCAATTCCTTTCTTTTAATCATCTTTTGTAAATTATTCTTGAATTATCTTTTTTAAGATTATTCCATTTGAAATTAATAATAAATATTATTAACATTTATGAGTTATTAAAATATTTAAAGTTTATTAACATCAGAGAAGCATAATTAAAATAAAACTATATCATGGTATACTGTATATTGTATTATTTAGACTAATTTCATCTTTTTTTTTCTTTTATTTTATTTAATAATATAGAAACCAATTGATCTTATCAATTGGTCAGCAATAAAATAAGTTACAAGAAAAGTATTTACTTAAAGTACTTATAGAGTATCATGTTGTTTCTATAATCAAACGAGCACTGCAATCTTTTGTTTGAAAATAAGAAAAAAGAAATACTGTACATCGCTTTTATTCCGATTCTTCTTTTGCACCGTCCATTTGTATCACCGTGCGGATGATTTATTTATGTACTGCATTAGACGTGATCGATCACGTGAGATCGCCATAAACAAATATAAATTTATTTTGATCGGTTTTTTTAGTCGTTTCTCAGTTTCAAAAAAAAAAAAAAAGAATGGGCAAAACAAGGAGCAGCAAATACGCGGATCTGAAGATGATCTACGAGTTCTCGCAAGAGATGTTAATCAAGATATTCAAGGAGCTTTCGGATTCTGATATATTTTCTTGCGTCTTGGTGAATCGAAACTGGTGTAAAACTGGAATGCCTTTGCTCTGGGAAGATCCGTTATCGTGGGGAGCTCCGATAATAGAAACATATCTGAGTTTTTTGAGTACCGAACAGAGGTCTTCAATAAGGAGAACCGGAGTTAACATTCCAAAGGTCACAAATCACGTCTTTTGCTATCCAGATTTTATCAAGAAATTCACGTACACCGAGTTGCATGAGGCGACGCATTCTTGGCTTATAGAAAGTAAAAACATTGCGAGTAATTATCAAGACTTGTTTGATGAAAGCTTTGATCAAAAGGAGGCGGATAATGATGAAAAGAAAAGGATCATAGTTAAGATGATGTCAAGTTTGATATGTCATTTAATTAAGTTGCTCCTTAATTCTTCTAAAGGATTTGAAATGGTCGATTTATCCACCAATTATAGGTGCGTTGGGATTCCACCATTAATCACGAAGTCGCATGAAATGTTGAAACTTGTATTCACAAATCTGACTTACCTAAAAGTTCACACTAATTATGCAGATCCCAAAATCACACCGGATAGATTGGATTCAGCCAACAAACTGTTCACCGAGATGGTAGAGCATTGCACTAAAATTCAGTATTTAGACTCCAAGGATCAAAATAATGAGAGAAATGAGGTGAGGCAGCTGTATAGGTTGGTAGCAGTTCAGAAAGACCTCAGGCATTTTACAGCTCGGCGATTTGAACTTTGGCTCAATTTGATGGTGACATTGGCCGAAACAGCGGCTAACACTTTGAAAACATTTAATATATCAGGAGTTCCAGTAGACATCTCTCTACTCGCGGAACTTTCAAGATGCAATGTGCTAGAGGTCTTGTCGTTCTCTAGATGCGTGGAAAACAAAACGGAAGCTACGACCATCAGCACTAAGGGGAGGGGCAGAGGGAAGAAAGACAATCATGCTGGAATGGTGGGTAGAGGGATGTTGACTACATTGTCAATAACGCAGCCTACTATTCGTGCGAAAAGGTTATACTTTTATAAAAATAAGCTCGAGCCCAAAACTTTAAAGGCGATATTGAAAATGCTCGGAAGAAACCTTGAAAAGTTAACCGTCGTGAATAATAATACCGAGACAATCATTAAAGCTATTAGGAAGTATTGCCTAAGTCTAAAAGATCTTATACTGCAAGTTTACCTAGATACGCGATTTTCCACATTTTCCGAGTGGATAGCTGGTTCCAAGTTGCGGACTCTTGTCCTGGGAACATTCATATCCAATGTCTATAATTTTGAAGATAGGCCCGATACACTAATTTGCGAAATGCTTGAAGAAATGGGAAATTATTTTCCGCTTTCTCTGAAGTGCATAGACTTCGACTTTGAAATTTCTCCAAATCAACTGGAGTTATTTTTAACACGTAGCAATTATGTGTTTAAAGAACTCGGTTTACACCAACCATCAGGATTGGACGACAAATATTTGAGAATAATTAAAAATCACACGAAATTATCAAAATGTCTTACCGAGCTTACATTTGATCGAGTTTTCTGGATCACCGGCGAAGATGCTAATACAAATGAGATGGATTCGGATAGCATAGACGAGGAAAAGCCCGATAGATCTTATTTTAGTAATAAATCACTATTGGACGCCGAGAAATACATTAATACCATCACCTCAACCTCAATTGATCCTTTTACGGATCCGCTTAAAAGTATATTTAGGGTTCATGACATAGACGAGATGGATACTGAAGGCATGAGCGCAGAAGATATCGAGAAGTGGTAGTAATAATTCTTTGGAGGTATCACTTGGCCTTGAAGTTTTCACCAAGACAGATTTGTTGTTATATGAGGATTGAGTTATACCTTTTTTGAAAATGGAAAAAAAAAAAAAAAAAAACCAAAAAACACAATAATAATAATAATAATAATAATAATAATAATAAGTAGTGTTACTATGCCAGATTAGGCTGAACCCCATTCCTCTGAACTGATGTTTGACTTGAAATTTTAACAAATAAATTTCGATCATGCTTTCTATATAGACTAAAACCTTGTTGGCGTTATATGATTGATGTTCGAATAAAGAGTAGGGAGGATATAGAAATAGGATCCTGACTATCAGAACTTTTTTCAAATCACAATCATAAGAACATCAGCAACACCCTGGGCACCTCGACACAATCTGGAACAGGAATAGTAATCATGGTGAATATAAAAACTTCTTTGCCATTTCAATCATAAACGTGGTGAATTAATTCCGAAAATTATTATACGAAATTTTATAAACACATGATTTGATTAATCTAATGAGCTAGAAATATATCTTTATCTTTTTTTTTTTCCTCTAATAAATGTCCCTCCCCATTATTAACAAAGGATGTTATCTACATATTATCACATGTAAATTACACTATAATAAATAGTACATTAAAATAAGTCTAGATTTTAGCATGCCCATCAAACCGTTCCCCCAAAATTGAATGAAATCTTCGGTAATTTATGAATGCAATTGCACCACCTAATTGCAATCCATCTGCATTAGCGGCTAGGATGGCACTCCAAATACTAATCCAATATACCATTAGTCAGTTCCGAAATCTCGGGTGAAACTTGACCTCCGCCTTTCTGGCAGGATCATTAGATTTTGCACCTCTTGAGAATATACTCGGTTCATCAGACTTCCCGGATGATTTATGGCGGCGAGATGGCGTAAGACATCTTTTTTAGTAATCAAGCCTAGAAGTTGTCCGTTTTTGGTGACCAAGACATAGCGAAGACCCTGCATAGGGATTTAGGAATTGAGATCGGAGAAAAAAACCAAAAAACCAAAACCAAATTTTACCATTTTCCTAAACAATTCGATAACCATTTCCATAGGAAATTTGTCAGAAATAGTAATCGGAGTCTGTATGGAATGAATGAGTTGATTCGATGAATAATAATTTTAGTAAATGAGAAAGATAAAGAAAAAAAAATTTTTTTTTTTTTTTTTTTTTTTTTTTTTTTTACCTGATCCATCCAAGGACGGAAATCGACAAAAATTGTTGAATCAAGGATTGGGAGATTACTGGAAAAATAGCAGGGAGCCGAGGCCGATATTTCATTTTTCTTTCTTACTTTTTCTGGAAAAAACCAAAAACATTAGCAAACAACGACAACAATAATAATAATAATGATAATACGCTAATATTGATTTTTCATAAAAATCCTACCTATTGCATATCTCAACTCTGATCTTGATATATAACCAATAAGCAACATATTTCTTGAATTTTGCACCACAGGAAATCCTTTATAATCTGTTTCATTGAGTAATTCCTCTTGAAATAATAAAATGGTAACGTCAGAAAATACCAATCCGCATCCGTCATATTCACTAGATGCCTTAAATGTTGCTACTCTACCTAAACCATCCAATGTATGCCCAGTGGCCGTGATTATCACCAAATCCTCTACGAATGTCATTACATCCGAGGCCAGCGTGTTATACACATACTCTTCCTTGCTATCTAAGAATGGATATTCGTTGATACGAATCCATCCATCGTAAATGCCCTCTTTCCCAAACGCATCGCCAACCCACTTACTAACCATTACTAAAAATCAACTTAATGTCAAAGCCGTACAAGAGTAAATAAACCAAACGAATAAATTAAAATAATAATCTTTGATTTTACCTGCCACCATTATAGGGAGAACGTAAGTTAATGCGCCAGTTAACTCGAACATAATTACGACGAGAGAAACTATTATATTTTTGTGATAGAATTATCTTAATGTCACCTATGAAGAGTGCTCTAAGGAGTCACATTTCAAAAGATCAAATTACCCGTCATGCGCGTAATTCCACCAAAAGTTGCCGCTGCTCCAACCATAGCGTACATTCCTGGTGTGATGCATTGGGTGTCAGGAGTACACGATGCGAAAATCCATAATCCAGGAGCTGTACTTTAATGATTCACGGAATTAATATTACGGAATGTATGCCACACGCTCATTATAGCAGGAGATGACGATAACCTACTTATGCAAAGCATAAACCAATAATCCGACTGCCCTACCGAAACATGCTCCTATCGCCATAGAGGGCAACCATATGCCGGCCGGAACTTTCAGGCCAAAAGTTACGACCGCTATGAAGAATTTCAGCACGGACGCGATTAAGAGTAGAAAAGCGGATTTCAAGTAACCTTCATATCTTCAAACGTATAGATTACACAATGTCAATTGAAGAACGATCTTAATTATACGAATCAGCAAAAATCAGAAATGGTTTACCAAATGCATACTTGCAAAGATTGTGATAGTCATCTCCTGCGCATTCACGGAAGAGATTTGCAACGAGCTCCGATGGATTTACACTTTATTACCGCAATTGATTAAATGAGATCTTAATTCGGTCGAGGTAACGCAAAACAAAACTTTGATGCCTTTGCAATGATCGTTACCTTGTGAAAATGTTCAAATAGCTGACTATCGAAGCAAGGAGCGTGACTATCACGACCTCGTATACACTAAAGAGACGTAACCACGATTCTTGACGGATCGTAGCGATCTTTAAGTTGATACGTATAAATAGAGCTCCATACAGACCCTATAAAAATAACAGGTTATCTATTTGCTTCTCCGAAAGGTGATATAGCAACGAGACCAAGTCCACACAAAAAAACCTACACCCACTACCCCTAATAGTGCAAAAAAAAACATTTCAAATGCATGCCATTCCCTATCGTAGACTACTTGAAAAAGTACAAGTTTGTTTGTCCTGAATGGATTCATAAACTGTGTGAAGAAGAAACTTTTTTAAATAATCTTGAAAATTCAAATTATAATTCTGGTCGCAATCAATAGTGCACGTACTGCAAGTGAGACAGCTGCGACCATGGCGCAGAAAAAACTTCGCCACATAGTTCTGAAAGGAAAATAATATGAAGCTTCCTAAATGATTTGCACGTATTAATCTCCGTTTTTCGTCTAAAAAATCCTTTTTCAAGATACCAAATCAAAATACCTCCAAACTAAACAAAACTCCCCCAATCGGTGCGCCAAAAGCGACCGAAACACCTGCCGCTGCTGCCGCTGATAGTACTTCGCGTTTCTTAGCTATAATGGTTTTATAATTAAAAGGGAAAAATGAATTATACTAAACAATGCAACACTTTTTAACACGTGCAAAGCACATCAGAGGCATACCTTCATTATACCTGAACTTTGAAAAAATCCTGGGAATGATGTTACCGCAACAACAAGCTAAGTGAACAAGAGGACCCTCCTTTCCTAAACATAAACTCGAAGCAAAAACGAGACACTTTCAGTGAAGAAAACAAAATACCAGTATTAATGCTTCTACAAAACGATTGCAAAAAGGTAAATGAGATCTAGTGTTTCACGATAATTACCACTCCTATAGTCTTTATTATTAAGGTCCACCATCCTAGGAATTTTCGAATCACAAAACCGCTGAGAATAGTTTTTACTTCGGGGATGCCGCTGCCAGACGCGTAAGGTGAGTAGGATTTTACAAGATAAGCCGCTGATGTGGCGAAAATGGTCTTTTTGTGCATTAAATTCCAGGAAATATTAAATGATCACTCTCAAATACTATCGAATGCCACCATCCATTGAAGGAACAACTTACAGAAAAAATTATGTAGAATAAGTAATTTGTCCAAAACTTTGCGCTCAATGACCTTGCCTGTAAGGCATCATTCCAAGTTATCCACTCTGTACATTCATCATGCTCATCTAAAAAATTTTCGCCATGACCGAATTTAGCATCATGGAGCACAAGATAGGCCGTATTCCGGTTTCATTAAAAGTACAATACCGTCATAACCCCAACAACAATTCTTTCTGCTTAAATAAAATGCCGTATTGCAGTATCCCTCTTTCAAATCACTCAACCAATCTGACGTTATGTCTATGATTCCGGCTAGGATTCCAGAAGCGATACCTGTTAAACTAGATAAATTAGAATGAAACGTCTAATAAAAACTTTCAAGACTCTTGAAAACTTACCGACAGTAAAGACTACTATCCAGCCTTCCATCTCGTCGAAAATTAATCTCAGTTTACCTATTAATCCTCCTTGCTTTTTTAATCTTCTACGACGTGTGCGTTCCTTGGCAAAATCATGAATCCAGTCTTTTCAAATTACAAATTTTCATACGTTAATTTTTTCCAATGTCCTTCAATATTGAGGAGCCAGCTTAGTAATGCAGAAAAAAAATCGCTGCACCTATTGTCGTAAAATCGTCGTATGCTACCCTCCGACCTGTTCCTTCTATTGACCAATCGGCAACATCCCCGTCGAACTCTTCATCATTATGTCTTCGTTGACTTGTCGATATATGACCTATTTCATAGTTTGATCTCATCTTCATCGGAGAATCAGCCCGCGAGAATATACGGCTACCCGAAGGCCGCGTCAGATTCTTACGCTTGAATGTAAACCCATCGTCTAGATCGGTTCTATTATTTTTTTATGAGAACAATTTGAAAGGTAGAATAACGTTAATACACTATAAATGAATTCTCCACAACATAGTTTGCTTAAAGTTTTCCTGAATATGCATTTTTGATAATTCAAGTCTCTCTCGGAAGTTCAGACCTCACCACAGTGTAATACTAAGAAATGAAAATCCAAAACAACAGACTTTAAATATACTAACAACTTTGAATTTAGAGCTTTAGCCGCCGAAAGAGTCATCTGGTCGAAATCCTGCACGGTAATTTCATAAGTCAGCGAATTTCTTCGAGACTCGTCCGAAGAGTCCACATTCCTATCCACATATTCAGTTGACGCATCATTGGCTTGATTGAGTGGTGAAGTACTTCTTGCCGTCGTGGTGGTAGGAGTAGAATATATCGAATCATCTAAGTTTGTTTCATCCATAATCCGTGTCTTTTAAAAGTTAAGATGGATGTCATACTCATTCATTGAATTCTCGATAGTTTAGTTATATAATAACGTCACGTGCAACATTCAAGTTACTGTACATGCAATGCGCAATCGCGCATTGATATTTACTGTAGTATAATTAAGTCGATTCTTATAATAATTAGACGCTCATCAATAGAATTTAAACATTACTTGTATGCCAGCAACCTTCACCTGCGTCTTATGGATGGGTTGTGTGTTACTTCAACAATAGTCAACCAAGCATTAACAAGTGAGGCACCGTTCACTACATGATCTAGGAATCAGGGATTCATCAACAACGCCAAGATTCTCGAAGGTCCCGATCCACAATTGACAATTGTACTTAGATACTCGAACCCCTAATGTTCTAATTACACCAGTTACATGCAGGACTATCCGGTTCACACTGAAAAACTAAAGAATTTATTAATATAATTTATTAATGTCACTAAAGACAAAATTAATCGATAAAGATCTATTAATAAAATATATTCAACATATTCCTTCCACTGATTCTCTAATTATACATAAAAAAAGATGTTTCCATAAAGTCTTTCTTTTACTTCTTTTTCTCTTGTTTATAATCTTTTTCAATCAAAAACTTAACATTTGATGATCAAAAAAAAGTCAAGTAACACCTTCCTTTTGTTATCGATGACAAGAAAGTTTCTAAAAAAAAAAAAAAAAAAAGAAATAATTGTGAAATATTTGAAAGTTTCTTTATCTTTGAAATAAATCGTTATACTATATCTATAGTGTAAAGATTTATTTTCTTCTTTCCAGCTATATACTATATGTTTTATTAAAATTTTCACTTTATGATTTTTTAAAATATATTGATTTTAAAATATAAATAAATTTCTATTAATCACAATTATACAGTATATTTTGATAATATCTTAAGTAATAAGAAAAAAAAACTCTTTTAATATTTTTCTCTAATAAAGTAAGTCAAATCTATTAAAAAAATTATAATATTAAAAAATTTAAAGTATGAATATATATTAATAAATTTAAAAAAATAACAATATCTAGTTTTATTAAAATTATAATTTTACTATAGATTAAGAACTTTATTTGATAAAAATTTCACTAGTCAAAAAAAATTATTTGGTATACTGCCTCTCACGTAACATTTGGCAAAATAATAAACAATTAGACAAAAATATGACATAAATAAATTGGCAACTATATAATTTAGCTATTAATATTATAAAAATCAGTATATTTATAATTTATTAACAATTTGTCAAAAAATTCATTAACAATTTATCAAATAATTCATTAATTATTTAATAAAATTTATTAACAATTCAATAAAAGTTTCTTATTTATTAACAATTTAATAAAAATTCAATATTAATTTATTAATAATTTGTCAAAAAATTGTTAATAGTTTATTAATAATTTGTTAACCATTTATTAAAACTATTCATTAAAAATTTAACAATTAGTTATTAAAAATTTATCAACTATTTATTAAAACTATTTATTAAAAATTTGACAACTATTCATCAATAATAAAGTAAAAAAATTAATAAACTTATACATTAATTTTTTTAAATTGAAGTTATATTTATAAATTATAAATAATACAAACTATAATAAAATATATAATACTAGTCAAAAAATATTTATTCAATATAATGGTACTTATGTAACATTTATCAAAAAAAATAAATAATTTGGCATATTAATGATATAAATAAATAAATAATTAATTTCTATTATATAATTCAATATAAATATCACTAGTCGAAATTGTGTCATTCGACTATTGAATTATTGTCAAATTTGACAAAAATTAATAATAAAAAGATTGACGAATTATTTATGATTACTGCCACTTAGTATTAAAAATATTGGCAAAAAATCAGCAAAAAATATCAGTATACTATGAAAAAAAATTCAATATAAAATTTGGCAATATTGTGATAAAAAAAAATTTTGTATACTGTAACAAAAAAATTTTTGCATACTGTAATCAAAAATTCAACAAAAAAATTGATACTATAGCAAAAAATTCAGCAAAAAAATTGATACTACAACAAAAAATTCAGCAAAAAAATTGATAC